ATAAAAGTGAACTAAATCTCATTAATTAGTCAAGCCAGGCTTAAAAGTTTCACTTTTAATGATAAAGGCGCGTGTAGATTCTTACAGTTGATCAATTCTAATAAATGTAGAAATATTCTCAGGCGATTACAGTTCACGAGCACATTCATTTGTGATTGTTAAAATATTTGAAGATTGTGAGCACGCTGATGCAGGTTTAGTTTAACAGTATTCATGATAACATTAGTCCAGTATGGTGTGAGGTTATTTATAAACATACATACACCGACCGCTCAACAATTAATATTGTGAATGTAAAATTAGAATCGCCAATGTAGCGAAGTTGGAACCATTTAGTGTTGATCTTAATACATTTATAAACTGTGAAATTAGAATCCCTTAGTTTAGATCCATGTATGTGTTTATACACTGTAAATTTAGAATCATCCATGGCCATTTATTGAATTCCCTAGTGTAGATCTTATGAACTGTGAAGTTAGAATTATTTAGTTTAGATCCATGTATATTTATACACTGTGAACTTAGAATCATTTAATGTAGATCCATGGACATTTATTGAATTCCCTAGTGTAGATCTTATGAACTGTGAATTTAGAATTATTTATTTTAGATCCATGTATGTTTTTACTCTGTGAAGTTAGAACAATTAAGTGTAGGTCTTAATACATCTGTACCTTGGGATCTTAGAATCTTTTAGTAATTATCTATGTACACTTACGCACTGTGAAATTAGAAGCCTTTAATGTATTCACCTATACATTTTTACATTGCAAAGCGAGAATCTCTTAGTACAGATTCCTATATATTTATACACTGTGAACTTAGCATACCCTATAGATCCATATACATTTATAAATTGTGAAGCTAGAATCCCATAGTGTAGATTAACATACATTTATTCATTGTGTAGTTAGAATTCCCTAGCTTAGATTAACATACATTTATTCATTGTGTAGTTAGAATTCCCTAGTGTAGATTGACATACATTTATTCATTGTGTAGTTAGAATTCCCTAGTGTAGATTAACATACATTTATTCATTGTGTAGTTAAAATCCCCTAGGGTACATCTTCATATGCTTTTATTCTACGAAGATAGAATCCCCTAGAGTACATCTTCATATGCTTTTATTCTGTGAAGCTAGAATCCCCTAGAGTACATTTTCATATGCTTTTATTCTGCGAAGCTAGAATATTTTAGTTTAGATCCATATACATTTATACATCGAATATGTGAAAACTTATTACAACAGAGTGGTACGTTTAAGTCTGTGATTTCTTGGTAAGTATTCGACATAGAGTTCAAACAGCTTCTAATGTATATTCAGAGAAACAAGCCACAAAAATGTTAAAATACGCATTATGTTTACCTTCAGATCTAGAAACAAATACAAATTTGTTATATATGAAAGTATAAAGTTAATCTGTATTCAAAGAGAAACAAATGCTTAGTATTTAATAGGTAGACCTCGAGATGACTTAATCTCTTAAACAACAACACAAAAATGAAAATTCTCGTGAATAAGTGACAGTACTTGTTTTTACTTTCCAGTAATAGTTGAACTCGGGAAATGTGTATTCTATTTATACAACGAAAATATTACATTTATGGGATATTTACCATACTCAGCACCAGATGGCAAGCGCGACATACCTAGACAATAAGGCGGTACATGCCAGTCAGCCGTGAGTAATTTGATTATGCAAAAAAAAAAATGCGTAACTTTGCCGTTGAAGTAGCTTTGAGTTAATAATTGTAAGAAAAGAATGAATTAAAATAATCTTAATAATTGTTGATTTTTAATGTTCTCCAAATCAGTGCATAGTTAAAGACAGAATGTTAAGGTCTACAAATACCAACAATGTTAAGGTCTATAAGATTAGTTATTATTAACTCTACAAATCATTGAATTCGATCATACAAGTTTATAAATAGAAGGAATTTTACAATAATTCACTAATTGTTCTAACTTTTTACTAATAAATAACTAAATATGAAAAAAGTATTTTCTGATCGTTGCATTGAAGGCAATAATATATCAAAGACCTTAAACCCTCATTGTTTTACTAATTAGTAACTGATTACCCTCGCAGGTGGCTCTGCGGTAAGATAGCGGGCTGGCTTATAACGCTAAAAATCGGGTTTCGATACCCACGGGGGCAGAGCACGGATAGCGTATTGTGTAGTTTTTTGCTTAACAACAAAAGGTTAATCAAGTACCGGCTTTACTGAGACCTTAACTGTTTACATACTGAAAAGTGTATCAGTGACAAATTATAATAGTTTGCCAGATAATATTTTTTGTCTTTACTTCTTGAAACATAAACACACGGTAAGTTATTGAATAGTTAACCCACACAACCTATTGAGAAGAAAGTATCTTTATCTATAATCAGTGGCTTCTAGATATCACCGAAGAGATAGAAACATAAGCAAGCGAAACGCACAAGATACTGTATTCGTCTTTAAAATATCTAGTAATTGTTAAACTTATGTAATTTAAGAAAATTATTTTACCAGTGAATCTATTCTGTCGTTTTATTGACGACGTGTATCCCATTTTTCATGAAAGCAGAGTCGTATTTATTATGAAACACGATAGTGGTTCATAACAGGGATCATAAGGAATTGCACAAAACTCTAATAAAACATTCTGGAAAAAACACTTTAAACAGTAAATACTCAGTTTAAGCAACATTTTAAGGCATTTACTATTGACTGCTATGGCTGTACTCGTATAAAAATGCACAAAAAAGCACGCATGTTAGATTTACAAAGAATAGGAAATCCGCTCAAAACGCCCGTTTGTAATTCTTCTTCTTATTATTATTATTCTCTTGTCAGCCTACAACAGAAATGGCTTGATATATTGCATCTAAATGTTTTGTAGAACACTAAATAAGGTATTGCAAAGGTCATAGGAGTATTGAAAAGTCGATATATCCCTTCTATATTTGCATAAGCTAAAAAACATCATAATTCTAGTGTAAACGATGTTGTCATTATCCCTTAAAGTTAGCTTTTATTTACAAATAGGTGGTGTTCCTTTAAAAAGCTGAAGTACAGAGTGAAACAGGAACTATCAGCCAATAATAGATGAACCGGTGTCTTCAGAGAGCCAACCCTTATATTACATATGAAGTGAAGGAGTAAAAAAAATCATACACATAATATTAAATTTTATTACACACATTCTCGGAACAATTACTTGAAAAAACACTAAGGTTTGTTTAAAGCGACGTTTTAGACGTATATGTTTTATTTGAAAAGGTTGCTTTTCTACTGGTAAAATGTTATACAAAGTTAGTGGGGATTGTATCTTAGTCTACGCGTATATTTATCCATTGCTATGCATTATACATAGAGATAATTTAGTTATACAGAATCTATAAATGGTCACTTTATTCTCAAACAAATCTCCATGACAATCTCCAGCTGCAGCTTAACATTTTACATCTCGAACTAATGTGATCAAATAGTCAATAGCTACAGTAAATCATCATGAACCGTATTAGCTAGCTACTAGCTATTTATATTATCATTACAACGTATAAAGTTAGCTACTGTATCAAATAATCCTTTGCCCATAGTTCAGAATAAAAAAGCCAGCAAACAAGATAAATAAAAACCTGGGAGTTTTAAAACCCGCAAATAATGATAGTAAAAAAAAGTAAGGAAAAAAAGCTGGAGATACTGTAGACATTACTTACTCGAACTACAAGCCCCTATTTGGGCTCCACGATGTTACCTACAATTACATTTGGTGGAATGAAAATAGGGATTTGTAGTTTGAATAAATATTGTCTACGGTTTCTCCAGCCTTGTTTCCTTACTTTTTTACGATTATCTGCAGGTTTTTAAGTTCCCAATTTTTTTATTTATCTTGTATATATTACTATCCTCTAATATAGATCCGTCATTCATTTATTAAACTGTAAAGCTAAAATCCCTTAATGTATATTCCTGTACGTTTATGCGCTGTGACGTCAGAATCGTTTAGTTCAGATAAATGTATTTTTATATGCTATGAAATTGGAGGTCTTTAATGTACCTTCCATATAACATTACAAGATTCAATTATTTCCCCTTAAACAAGATGAGTATTATGTTTAGTATCATCTTCAATTTATCCGATCAAACTCGTGCCACATCTTTTCAACAAATGTATTTATTTGGATTTTACTTAATGATGGATAAATACCTTGCCCAATTGAAAGATATGTTTTTGTGCCCATCTCTTAAACTTTAAATATTTCTGCAAGATTTTTTTATGATAACTAATCATGTAATCTAAATATCTTCTTCAACAAGAACATCATTATAACTAAAATCTAGGTTCGATTCCCCACGGTAAACACAGCGGATAGCTTAATGTAGATTTGCTCTAAAACAAATAAACAAAGACTTTTCTTCAACAAGAACATCATCACTTGCAGGCAAATTGGTAAAAGAAAATTTTTTAACTTCTGGATATATTTTTTGTCTAATTAAGGGCTTTAATCTACCAGAATCACATGTCTTGAACAATAAAGACGTATTTTAGCAATGCCACAAGAAGAATGCTAACGCAGATACTTTCGTTAATCTCTTTGTTCATTCAGATATAATTGACTTTCCATTTTTATAAGGAAAATATAACTACAGTAAATATAACTAAAGGTTCTTCTTAACAGAATTAAATAAAGATTACATTAAGTAGGTGCTATTCTGATTGCAGATAACATTATTTACTTAATTCCGTGCACCTTCGAGTTGTGTAACGTATATACTCTAAGCATGTACATTAGAGAAGAAAACTGAACTCGCCAAATTAAATAAAAAATAATAATAACTTCCATACTTGCTAGGTTGAACACAGTTACTGAGTTCTCTTAATTCCTTACGTGTTAGTTTACCCTAATAACAAATCGTCAAGCTTGTCACACTTGTGACGTATGTGCGTGAATTGCTTGATGATAAACCTAATAACGTCTACCACGTACCGTACTGTGAACTGATAAGCCGCCATCTGTCGAATACCGATTGCAAACTTAAAGTTAGTGGCTATTACAAAGTACTTATCATAGCTAAGAATACAAGATCCAAAAGAGACACTAAATGATTCGATAACATCAGTTTGATAAAGAGTAGTGGTGGATGAAGACTGTTCTTGATCCATTACCAAGGAAATCGACCTTGCTGAACTAGGAATGTAGAACGGACAACATTTTCATGATAGAAAAACTGGGTATGGCCTTCAAAAACGTTCAACGTATTTAGTCTAAACTAACGATAAATGTTCAGTTACTTTGTTAACTTCAAACTTTACAATGAATAATATATCTTCAAGTAATGATAATATTTTATGACATTTATTTGATTTTGGATAAATTCATATCCATAGAATATATCTTGAGGTACACCATATGTTATTTTTAGGTAAAATTTTCCTAGTCACCACAAGCTCTGTTGACTGTTCTGGTCAGTTTAACTTTACTGAGTCTGTGAGAATCAGTATAATTCAGTTGTATCTAAGGTCACCTAAATCAATTATATTTAAGTCACTTCAGTTTAAGTGATCCTGTAAATTCGGTAGTAATTAACGTTTCGTAAAGCGGATCTACTCTTGCAGTCAAAACTGAATCTTTGGTACTTAAGTTAACCTAGGTTACTGGAAAGTCAGCATCCCATAACTCTGCAATAGACAACTTTAGATAAACTGACTCTATTGCATTGGAGTTAAACTACTCTATAGTAGTCAAGTTAACCCAGGTTGTTGGAAGAGTTAGCATTAAATGACTCGGCAATAGTCAACGTTATCTAAAGTGACTCTATTGCACTATTTAAGTTAACCTTAGTTGCTAGAATAGTCACTATTGCATGAATCAGCAACAGTTAGTATCACCTAAACTAACTCTTTTTTTTTTGTCAAGTTAACCCATATTACTCAAATAGTCAGTCTTACATGACTCAACAACAGTAAACGTTATTTAAGCTGAATTTTTAATAGTTAGTTTGAACTTAAGTAACATTATATAATACGAATTTAGTTAATATTGTATATTTTAAGATGTTTATTGTGACTGTTTTCTTTAGAGTTTTTCATTAACATTTTTCTTATAAAATCAAATTTCAAAGCATTTTTCAACAAAATGTCAGAGATAGGAAAAAATAAAAGCTATAAGATATCCTTTACTCCAATTGACTCTGCTTTTCCATGGCTTTTTTCTCCTAACTTATTAGATTTTAATATTTGTAGTTTTGAAAGTTTTTTTCTTTATAGTATATGATAAAATAAAGTTTTGTACTTTTTTCAATATTCCTTCTATGACATTTAAATTGCGTAATGCATAACACAGCGTCTTCAGATACACTTGTGTTCTTCTACATTATATTTCTCTGATAACACAGGTCTGCAAATTTAAACTTCATAAAAGATGTTTTGGTTTTAAAAACGGATTTTACATAATTCAGCTATGCAGATTTCGAAAATACTATTATTATTATTTTTTTCTATTACGTAGGGATTTTGTTTACAAATCGGGAAGGGAAAAACTCATATCAATAATTATTTCGTTTACCACAATGAACATTTTCTATTATTATGTTTTTTAACAAAAACACAAACAAATTGAAGAAAAGAGAAGAACATTGGTGTCAAACGAATATGCATCCTCATTCATCCTAATTTTTTTGTGAAATCTACGTCTTTTAGTCTCAAAACTACGTGTTGTGGTCTATCTTTTATGTATTGCGTTATGACGTTTTGTAAAAAAATCTGTACGTGATGGAGAAAAATGGATATCGTTTTAGGATTCAGCATATAGGAGTTACCGTAGAACATGTACAGATTTTAAGACAATAAAGCCATCGCAGGCCTGTGTAATTATTAGAAATGTTGCATTCCTCAAGAGTACTTGTTACAGTTTAATGCTTCCGATCCAAGTTTGAGAAACTGATTGCTTATTATAAATGATAACACAGCTCATGGGTTTCTAATGTTTCTCAGCACAAAGTCCCACTTTATCCCCACGAACATACTGATTGAGATCCTAACAGTGTTGTGTATATTGTGTATTTGCAACACCCCCCTCCTTATTGAATCTGACATAGGTGGGAGCGCTATGTAATAATCCGGGAAATTCGAGTAATTACTGTATTAACGTATTTATTCTTTGTTTATTTATTTGTCGTTTCAAATACGTCACCACGAAACTCTTATTTGTGAGACTTTCTATGAATAAATCTTGTTTGGTTAGTGAGATAAAAAATAAATTATTTATTTTCCAATATCCCTACTTGTGTAGAACATGCTAATGCTTTTTTAAATAACAGAAGCTGTTCAGGAAAAGACTGGACATGGGAATCTAATATGATTGCAAGAAATCTTTATCAAGTAGTATATCAAAAATATAATGGATATTAATGCTTTCTTTGTTAAAAGAACCCCTTAGGAGCGAATAGATTGTTGTTTGCTCTTAAAGCATGTGAAGCACGTAAAGATATGTGTTCCGTAATCGAAACTTCGTTTGATCTTGTATCAGGCACGCTTAAGAAATTCGTAGGTGACTCCTTATATGTTAGATTAAAAACTCTTCCTAAAAGTGAAATTATTAATCTATTTCCATTTTTATATCCTTAGTAAAGAACCTTTTTTTTCTCATGCGGAAATTTTACTTTAACTAATACAATTACAGAATAAATAACAATTTAACCATTTTACCATTCGTATCTATGTAAAATCTCATAGCAACTAAAAGGATAAAGTTAGTAAATGTTTCACCTTCTGCAAGACTAATTTAATCATAATATTGATCTTTTACCATCGTAAGATACTCATGGTTGAGCAATATCGCTCAGCGATTAGAATGTTAAACTCATTAAGTATTTCATTGTCTGTATGTCTAATTTAGTAATAAATTTGATCTCTTATTGCCAACGGACACTCTTGATTAAGTAAAATTACCTAGCGACTTAAAAGTTAAACACATTGAGAGTGTCGCCGTTTGTAGGTAGTCATCGTATTACTTTAAAACATATTCACACTAACAAGGTAGTGTTCTTTGTTTTCTATACTTTATCTTAGATTTAGATTTTTTTTCTTTCTCGCATAACCAGTTGACGTCACCTGATAGTGCATGCTTTCAAGTACATGCTCGATAACAGGATATGTAATCTACGATTGTCGTATCAGCAGCGACAAAGAAACTCTATTAGGCTTGTTTGTTTGTTCACCTGAAAAACACCTTATGCACACAAGAGGCTAAACGACCAAGTCAGAAACCTTTATGATTCTGATATAATCAACCCTAATTTTGAGCTATAGATCAGAGGTAAAAATGACCTGTTGGCATCACCCGCTTCCTAAAGCGGTGACTACTCTTAGCCGAATAACCGTATTGACTGTTACTCTTATAACGCGCCCTCAGACGAAAGTGTAAATCATGTTTGGTAGCACCACGTCTTGTTAAAAAATTAATCACTCATATATATTTTCTGTAGCCTATTTGAAAATTTAAAAAATATTATAAAAAATCACATTATAAAGACACACACGTACATAAGCATTTATTTTTAACGAAAAAAATTGCACATCCCCAATAATAAGAGTTCGTTTAATGTTTTAATTCTCATTAGTGGCAAGAATAATTTGTTCTACCGTCTCAAACCTACTAATGTTATGTAAGTAAAATAATACACTGAATTATAACATGAACAAAATAGAACCATGCTTCCAATTGTTCCGTGTAATATTATAACTGAGTATAAGGGTTGGAATAGGGACCTCCAAAATTACCGCATTGGCCCTGTTTATAAATGGCCTTTCACCTTTCATGAGTTGCCACTGTGTACCCGGCTAGTTCCTAAGTTCCAGAAGTGTTAATTTTATGTATCTTACAATTGGGTCTATACAATTTAAGAACGAATTTCATCAGATAGGCCGTGATAGAAACAAACATCAATTTTACATATGTCATAAGTAGATCTTTCAGGAATTGGGACTGAGTTAGGTCACGTAGGACTCTGAGGCAGCTGTTCCATATAGATGTATGCCACTGACGGTCAAGTCACTATGTTTTTTTCACACTTTCTTTTTAAAAGAGACCACATTTCACCGGTTTCTGCGTTAGACACTGTTTATCGTAGAGCTTCTTGGATATTTGACTTTGCTTGTTTTTGACCATCCAGTGGGGTTATTGATCGAAAACGCCAACCAATTGCAAATGTAAAAACTTTATTAAGTAAAGGTCAAAGAAATTGTATCAGAACTTGCACATATAAAAACGGTTTGCCAAATTTAAATATGTTACATGTTATGAAAATCCAAAATAATCATTTATCTGTTACACAATGGTCTATCTGTGTCGTGCATCATACGAGTATCGAAACCGGAGTTTTGGCATTATAAGCCTTCAGACTTGCCACTGGGGGAGGGGGTGGTCAGTGGTAAGTTTACGAACTTACAAAGATAAAATTCTGGTTTTGATTACCCGCGGTGGAAACAGCAGACAGCCCGATGTGGCTTTGCTCTAAAACAAACGAAAAACAAAGCCACTGGAGGGGCAAGAAACTAAATAACAACTAGTTTATGTCAGAAATTGTTAATGTTTGAAACAACTGGTCGAGTTAAGCATCGGCAATAAGACTGAAGACTTATAACGTTACAAACCAGGTTTCGATACCCGTGGTAGAAGAGCACAGATAGCCCTTAGTGTATCTCTGTGCTACATAACAAACGAGTTAAACAATTCTATTACATGAAATTTAAAATCAGAAATTAATTTTTCCTATTTTTTAGATAATTTAATGTTGTTTGTTATTAAGCACAAAGCTACAAAAAGGGCAAGCTGTGCTCTGACCATAACGAATATCAAACCCGGATTCTAGGAGTATAAGCCAGCAGACATACCGCTGTGCCACTGGGGGGCAGAAAATCTGATGAATTTCTATTTGAAAAATTGAAACGTGTCATTTAAAATTTTAGAAATGTATATACTGTGAGCAAATTCTTAATGTTTTTAAAGTTTTTGACTAATACAGTTCGCAATAGTCAATAAAATCGCCAGGATCAAAAATATGTTTAAAGTTCTTTCCAGTTGCCTTTAAAACCTTAATTTATTAGAGAAATATTGATAATACTTTCATAGTGTACTGACATTTTTTGTATGTTTAAATACGTATCATACATTATAAAAAATGTAGTTTTGTGGGTAGTATTATTTACCAGCATCTAACGCTCCTTGTATAAAACAAACTGCTATGACACGTTGACCTCTGCCTTTTCGTCCTTTCTCTTTTAGGTTATCATGATAATGGTCTATATAACGAATTGATAAAATGTTGACTCGCTCATATACTCAAGTAGAATTAATGATAAAAGTCCCTGTTTAATCGCTGTTGTTGCAGGCAGGTTTATGTTGAATTTACAAGAAAAATTTTATCTATTTGTGTTAAGCCACACAGTAAAACACACCAATGGTGAGATCTTGCATTGTTGGAAATTACCCTTTTCTACAAACTTTCTATTTTGAAACCATTACCATTGCAGGTAATTAACATAAGCTAAGGTTAAAACAACTCGACCCAGCTCTCAAGTAGAAACAGTAGAACCCAATATTCTGGAATGTGAACACTTATGTCAGAAAACAAACATTTCTAAATCGTTAAATATGGGCGCTTCCGAGTTCTATTTCTGAATACTATTTATCATTCAATTCTATAGTGCTGCTGTAAAGATATATACATGTAAGACTAAATGTTTACATGTAATTTGTTGTGATTTTTTAAGCACAAAGCTGTTCTACAATTTAACAGCACACAAACACCAATCTGAGATATCTTTAAATTGTGAATCGCAACAGAACTACAGCCACCACTGTGTTAAGCTACCAAAGCTTTAAATAATTCAGTCAATAGTTAGTTTTATCTTTATCGGGAACGTTCAACATGATATTGTGTATTTGATGTCAACGTTATCAACTATTAATTCTACTCTACACTGCTGATTAAGAGATAGTTCGTGATAGAAGAGAGGAAAGTCCAGACATATCATATAGTGATACTGAAAATACTCAAGATATGGATTTCAGAGGTGCTAGAAGTTAAACAAATTCAGTATTAGCACTATACGATGGACAAAAGTATTTTTAATCTTCAAGTAAACATCACCCTTCGCTCTGACTTGTCAGAGTATGAGTCAGCCTAATGTCTTCAATTTACAGACATATCTTGAGTACAAATACTTCAGTAACACATGTGATTTTTTGTGTACAACAGACCTATACAATTTACTGTAAGCTTGCTACATTAGTAGATTCAGAACTACAGTCAACATACCTTCTCCAATACAAAATCAGTCCATGGACCGACATCGTGCACAATCGGTTAAGACGATTTGTTTGAAGATAAACAATCGCATCTTCTATAAACAAATCCACAGTGTTCTTTAAAATATACCTTCTGCAGCAATGGTCTGTGAAAATATTTTAAACACATTATTTTTTATTTCTTCTTTTAGCAGCCAAACGTACACAACTGCATGGCCATGTTTTCCATGTGTTGCTACTGTTTTAAATTTAAATATAATATAATCCCCAAGAGGTGGACCTGGTCACGATTTCACGCTTCCGAAGATGACGTCTCCGAAGCAGTCTGTTTGAGTGGCCATCATCTCCCACCAGGTAAGTAACGCTAGAGGCGAATATTTTACGTAGTAAATTAGCTAATGGTTTCAGCTTTTGCTGATAAAGAAAATCTTATAATAATGTGACACATGTTACTAAAACGTTTATAATTCGAGAGTAGAAGGGAGTTAACATGATGATTAAAATGTTGCGTTGGCGAAATAACAACACTGTGTGTATAGGGTTGAATATACAAATCAGCAATTCACGTGACAGCCACAGCCAATATCAAAGCACGGTGTAACGGAATATATATAAAAACTATTTTCACACTATTTGGTGTTTAGTAGATAATGTGATACCAAAGAAGATTTATAGCTTTTGGAAAGGGTATGTAACAGCCCTTTAGATCGCGAAATATTCATACATTTAGGTCATAAATATGTGTTCAGATCGGGGATTTAGAATTTCCCTTGTACTTAATGGCATTGGACAATAGGGGACCTTAGATCAGGTTGGAGCACCAGGATCATCTAAAAAGAGACTTGCAACAACTCATGGCCCATTTGTGATAAGAAAAGTACGGCGTCTTTTACCAGGTGGGAATCCATGAACACATAGGTCAGTGGCAAAAGCCGTCCACAAACCCAGACAACAGTATGCAAAATGATCAAATAGTTTCTCCAAATGGAAAATCGAACCAAGTCACGTGTACACAAGTTGCCTCTTCAACATATCCGATAAATCCTAGCATGTCTCAAGAAGCAGAAGAATCAAACGGGTATTCATGCTATTGTATACGAAGACATACCGGTCAAGTCGCTTGAAGCAGCGCCTATGGATTTATGCGAGATAGAACTGTATAAAAAAGCATTGGGAAACCTCCAGTTTCTTACGCTAGATGGCTCGTGGAAAAATGCAGGGGAGATGAATTTGCTTTGAATATGACAACTTTACGACGGAGACTCTTGCAATGGAAACTATTTCCATGGTGACATGGATTATAACGGCGTAGTGACGCACCAAAATCATTTTAATATAACGTACTCAAACTCTGTAGCACTTGTATTATAACATCTTGCAGACTCATATTTTGTAATTTCAACATAAAATTTTCATGCTTATTAAATTGTTTAATAATACGCAGAATGTATTATTTGAATATGCACGCATGCTGAACGAACACTAAATTAATAATAACTTCTAATTATTTGTTTAATCAGTAGTCGGATGTAATTTGCGAACTTTTCAGCTCTGTTTGCGAGCTTTGCCAGGATTTCCGTTTATTCTATGGAACGTTTGTTGACGTATATCTTAATTGAAAAACTTGGTTATACCATTAGTAAATAAGTATAGGTCAGATAATAATAATGTTCCATAAGCAGGAGGGGACTAAAACAGATCTCCTTTTTTAACTACAAAGTATTATACAGGAGTTTTATACATTTCCTCATTACAATTATCAACTAGAACATATAACGGTTAAAGTAGCATTAACGAAGGTATTTCACATGTTCTAGTATATATTAGTCAAAATTGGAAGCATTCCTGGAATTTATAATTAACCTTTGATATAAAGTATCACATTTAAGAATAAATACTTTTTGATACTTAAATTCTGTC